GCGGGCCAGTTTTTTGTCAAAAAAAGTGCATTCCTTATGGAAGCTTATAGAGTGCTGCTGGGGGGCAAAAACGGTCCGGTTTTTTTGCTCATTTCTGCCCTCTCCAGCCCCCCCCAGGAGCTCTTATGAAAGCCTCCATAAGGTTATGCATGGCCATTTTGGTGAAGGGGAGGGGCTTCGGGAAGCAAAAAAATGCTGTATTTGATGTATAAGACGCACCCAGATTTTCAGCCTCTTTTTTGAGGACAAAAGGTGCGTCTTATACTCCGAAAAATACAGTAGTACAAAAACTGTTAACCGCATTACAGCTTTCTTGGGTATAATTTCTTATTCACTATACTAATTTTATTTTGTCTTTCACAATCAAATCCTACTAAGGAGATTTATTTTAAAAATATCAAAAATCTTAGATAGCAAAAGGAAATAATCTTTTTGTAAAGACAAAAAGAGGATTGGGGATTTATTTCCTAATGGCTGTTGGTAATAGCGCAGTCCTGTTGGAGGGGAAAGGAGAGAAGAATCTAATTGGAGAAGATTTGGTGAGGGGGCACAGAATATTTCATAATATTGCAGATTGGTTGGTTAAAAAAACTCATGCCTAACCGGAAAGTAAAGAACACGGCACTGCACTAACCACAAAATCTCATTTAAGGTTGTAGGTTATAGCTATTGTACTTTGCAACCCTCTGAAAATGAATATTTTATTTTAACCTGCAGTGGCCATACAGTACATGACATAAACATTTGACTAGATGTCTTAATTGCATTTAGTATAAAGATACTAATCCTAAATCCACCTGGAAGCTGAATGTCAAATGTGCAGCTCAAACATTGTAGATGATAACCCACCCTGGCTACAGTAGTATTAGTGGCACATGCAGTTTGTACAAAATTACGGCATCAACTTGCTTCTGATCTTAAATGATTTTGGGAATAACATGGTGAAGTATATAGCATATAGTAAGTATATAGTAAGTACATGGTGAAGTATATAGCAAGTGGCAGGAGCATGTAGGACCTACATGAAACTTTGGTGATTTTAAATTTTGTTAGATATAAAACATAAATGATATCTATAACATAATCCAAATAAAAGTACATAGAACCTCTTAATGATTCATAATGTTCTGTAGAAGAGGGCATTTTCAAGATCACTCCAATCTCTTTGCCACAAGACTTTGTTTGGACTCAAGAAATAAACAGTCAGGCTTACTTAGCTCTTGGAAGGATGATCACAAGGAAATCCTAGACAGGAGTACAGATCACAAAAGACACTGCAATTGTGATACAAGATCCATCCCTTATTCATTGTAATATTGTACATGCAAAAAGCAACTTTATGTGATACCCTCACCACATTTGTTTTGTCGTTTTGACAAATTCATCAAATTCTGCAGGTGATCCTGTCCCAAGGCTGTATAACATTAAAAAAAATGGGGGGGCGGGATCACGGAAGAAGGCAGTATCAAACCACCCCTGTGCTCTTACTGTGATTAAGAAAAATAGTATGGACATGTACCTAAAGTTACAAGGAATTGAACTGAAGCTTACCCCAAGCGTGTGTGTATGTGTGTATATATGCACACTTTGTGTGTGTGTGTGTGTGTGTGTGTGTCTCCACCTGCTTCCCATCTGTAATTAGCTCTGTCATTTTTACTTCAGGCATGTTAAATGATGGAGGCTTAGCTCCTGTTCCTTCCTGAATAAGGCAAACATCTCTTCAATGGTAGTTTTTACACTCTGCTAATGTTAAGCAGAGGCTAACGAAAGCTAAGTGGGTAATATATTTTAAGTTCCAGAGATCACAATATCTGTCTCTTCTTTTATAACTACACTTGGAACTCATATTTTTAGGTTAGTTCGCAACACACACACACACACACACACACACACACACACACACACACAGAGTATTAGTGTCAGTACATTTACATTACTGCATTTTTGTTTTATGCTGCCTGTCCTTGGAATTTTCAGGACACATAGCCATTCCCCAATGCCTTCATAATAATCCTGGAAGCTGAATTGTCCTAAAATCATCAATGAGCTTTAGGGCTAGATTTAATTTTACCTTGAATTTCCACAATCCAGCATTTCACCAGCATTGTGCTGGCTCCCACTTTAGCCTATGATAATGATCCTGCAGTTGGAAAGAATCTTTGTTGCTTTGGAAATTACCTTAAAATAGTTTAGTGCAATAGAAATGTCTTGCTTTTTTGTTGGGAAATGAGATGAACAAATGTTTGCATTTCTTGGCTTCCCTTGCTAGCTGAAAAGAAAGATAATGGAGCAAAAATATTTAAAATAATGTCCATTAAGAACACACAATCATATTCTCTGTTGAAATATAGGAGAACAGAGGGGAAAGTACATGGACCCCTCTCTACTGTGGCTTTGTCTTTTGAGTAGAGAGGCCACAAACGGGCAATAGGCCTAGGTCTTTTATCAAAGCAGCTAAAAATAGGGAGGGTGAGGGGCAGGCACCGTTTAGAAGAAGTAACCAATGACAAAGGGTTGATCTCTTTCTTTGCTGCCTTCCCTTCTGCATTTCTTCTCATCCAGCATATGAAACATTAATATCTGTCAACCGTCCAAGGTAAATCAGATCAAGAAATAGGCACCACAGGGATTCTAGGAACGCTATTTTATTATTTCAGAATATATTAACAGAATCTGTATTATCTTTTTAAAGGACAACACAAAGCTATCCTGATTCTCTTTCTCATGTTTTCTCTTACAGTTTGTCAGGGCTGAGTCATTTCACCTCTTCCCCATTCCTTCTCAAGGCCAGAGTAAAATTTCTCAGCAAAATCTGTTTGGGTATTTTAATGGGTTAAAAAAAAAAAGATTTATGGGAGAGAGAAGTGTAGAGGGATAAGCAAAGGGGGGAGGATAATCCTATTTCCAGTTGTTTTTCTGCAGATTGCATTGTCTTCTTCCATGTTGCTGCTCTGTTTAGTGACTTCTTAGTTGTGGATAGTTATATTCCAGCCTGCATGGACTATGACAATGTGTGATGAGTATTCTAGACTACAGACATCTGTATCAGGCAAGAAATCTTACCTTCGCTCCCAGTTCAGAACCGGGAGCACTCGTGTACAGCGCTTCTGCACATGCGCAGAACCTTGTATGCATGCATAGTGTCCGTGATGATGTCTGGACAGGTGGGCGGAGCCTCCCACTGCCGCCACTACTAGTTCACACGAACTGGCAGAATACCACCTCTGATCTGTACTTCACCTATATATACAACTCAGCCCATAAGTGTATATTGATGGAGAAGAAGGGGTGTGTGTGTGAAAATTTGAGTCTAATCCCTACTTCCAGCTCCTTCAAGGCTGCCTTCCTTGAGTGAAATTTGACCATCTGATGAACTAAAAAAGAAGAAGGCTTGCTGCAGAATTGAGACTGGGCATTTAACCATCATGGACTCTTAGGTGTGAGTTCTCTGCAGTTCTCCCCCTTTGTCTGAAAAAAGGTGCTTCCAGAGATGAGAACAGCCATATTCCTACCACTGTTTCATTCAGGAAAGCTCTGAAGACCTGGCTTTTTAGATGGCCTTTGGGATGATGTGGTGAAGTAGCCCTTAGTATAATGTGGAAAATTAAGATACTATCATGCTTAATATGATTTGGGGTTTTCTTCTGTTGTTTAATATATCGGTGACCAAATTACCATGAGGAAGATTGTAAGCCATTCAGTTTACTGCTTCACCATTGCTCTTTCCTGCTGTTCCTAGGTGTCAGATATTAAGTTCTGTAAATTCATAAGTCATAGTTCTTTTTAAGAAGTTTCTTTGCTCTTTATAATATAGATTATATTGCTGTTTAGGAAAAGTAGTTCTTCCTTTGTATGTAAAGACAGCCATTCAGAATGCCATGCCTCACCTGTTGTAACTTTTTGCTGAGATTAAAAAACAAAACTGGATAAGAAAGGCAATGGAAAAGCTCCACTCCCCCACGCCTCCATTGAGTTTGACACCCTTTTGGTAGATTAGCAACATAATGAAACAAGTCTGTGGAGAATGTCAATCATCCATGTCGTGGTTATCCCAAAGGTGCTTTTCAAAAAGCAGCTGGACTTTCATGAACTGAAGAAGCTTCTTGGATGAGAAGCAAAACATTTTCAAGCCAAAAAAAAAGAAAGAAAATTCAGGTGCCTTTTGGGATAAAGAAACAAGCTGCAGATTAGTTAAGACCTAGAATTTGAATTTCTTAAAGATGAATTGTAGGTCAAACTCTGTCAATATCCTTAAGCAGAAGCTGCCTTTTTTCATCAGCATCTGTGGTATAATAGACAATGTTGATGAACACATTTAGAGAGAATTAATTGGAAAATACTTGAACCAGGAAAATGAGATTCAAATTCTGACTTGACTATCAAGGTCAGTGATGATGTTGGCACATTATTATTAGGTGATGTTCTGTCCATAAGCAAGTTTGAGCAACTTTTAACTGGAAAAACATATTAAATCCAATGAGGAAAGTTTTCTGGCTTTATAAAGCAGAAAAAAATGTGTCTCCTGCTTTAGAGGGTTTTGTGATAATAATATAAGCAAGTAAAGAAGGGAAAACCATATCTCTGTGGCATGGACTACTTGGGAAAAAGTTAATGTAGAGAGGTTGGAAGAATAATAGATGTGTTAATTCCTTTAAAGCAGGGGTGTTTAGATCTGGCCCGCAGGCCCATCCTGGAAACAGCAAAGGGCCACATGTCAAACTGGTCACGCTTCCCAGCCATGCCCTCCTCTCCCCCCCCCCCAGGTCAAACAACCCTGATGCGGCCCTCAATGAAATCAGGTTTGACACCCCTGCTTTAAAGGCTTACTATACACATACTCGGTTTTAGGAAAGGGGGCAAAACATTTCATGCTGAAAGTTGATGTTTTTGCTCGTGACATTCGCTCGTGAGGAGAGGGCCTTGGGCTTCAATAATTGTGACCTACCTCTGCTCAAAATGAAGCTGCAGATAGCTGAAGGATCCTATTATCTCTTCTGCAGAGGACTTGGTAGCTCAGCAGACTGAGGAGGTGTTCCAGAGCTATGCTTTCCATCGATACCAACAGGAGCAGGAGCAAACCGAGGGGGATGTGCCAGTTGATCCAGAAATTGCCGCAATTCAGCAGGAGCCAAACAGGTAAGTACCACAGGCTCTTAAATGCTTACTTAGTCTCCCTTCATGTTCCAATTTAACCAGTTCATTTGTTCACTGTGCAGCATCAACAGTCAGGTGGGTCGACGCTTAGCTATCATTGCTGATGACATCAATGCACGGTATGACAAGGAGTTTTCTGAGATGTTGAAGCCTTTACAGCTTTCCAAGGACAATGCATATGAGTACTTCACCAGAATAGCCTCCAGGTAAGTGAGACCAGGGCCATCTACTAGAGTTTGATGCTTATAGTTTTTTTTTAAAGTTGTGGTTGATGTTAACCTCTATACTGCTCGTACATGACAAGGATCCCTGCCAGATTGGAAAAAGAGGGTCTTCAATCACACACAGCAGTGGGCACCAATCAGGGCTGGTTGCTGGGGTACAGCAGCAAGAGTAGACTATTGACCTGCCTATAAGCTTGCCAGATGTGTTATCTTAGTATGGGAAAGAGGATGCTAGACTAAAAAAATGGCCTTTGATCTGATTCAGAAGAATTCCTCTTCAGGTTCTTAGGCCAGTGTTCAACAATCCGTGGCTCTGTAGCCGCATGTGGCTCTTTCATCCCTCTGCTGCAGTTCCCTGTCGCTCAAAATATGTATCAATATGTGCGACACCCGCCAGCACGCAATTTATTGACCCTCCAGTAGGCCAATCATGGATAAATCCAAAAAAAGAAACGTTTCAGAAGAAAATAGAACCTTTAATTCAAAAACATATGCTAGTTTTGTGGGCGCTCAGGAAATAGTCATGCATGGGAAGGGCTTTATGGCTCCCAGTGTTTCCTTTCTATGGGAAAAGGGTCCAAATGGCTTTTTGAGTGTTTAAAGTTCCCAACCCCTGTCTTAAGCCATCAGAAATAACATGAAGGCAGTGAAAACTGCTATGGACCTGGAGATTATAATGGCAGTGATACCTAAACAAGAGACCATATGGAACTCCAAGGTGGTGTATGGTGCTCCGCTTAGGAAAAATTTAGCCACAGTTTCCCCTTCTGCTTCTTTCTTTCCTTTCCCTTTGATTTTTATTAAAGAAAGGAAATGACAAAGTGTAAAGTCACCAACAGAGAGAAAACAGTGACAATGTTTATACTTGCATCTTTACATCCACAAACATTGTTTTCCTGTTCCATGTAAAGAATATTTAACTCTCTCTCTCTCTCTCCTGTCCTCTTTTCTTGCTGTCCCCTCCTTGGGATGCCAAGTTGCACGATTTTGCTGCCTTGAGGTAAAACAGCACCTACTCTTTCCTCTTTTTCAGTTGCTATGTATGGGGACATACTCCATGCGATTCCTGCTGTGTTTTCAGCCGCATTGAAATTCTAATGTTAATAAAGCGTATTTTTAAAATTGGATATCAGAATCATCCCATCAGATAGCTAAAGATTATTTCTAAGCAACCATACACCCAGTTAAAAATGAAAGTTCTATAGCTACATGCAAGCACAGATTTTTAAAAAAGGATACTTCCCAACCTCATGGTGGCAGAATAAGCCTTTATGGATGTTGTAGCAGAAAGAGAGGGGTAGCCAGGTCAGAGCTGATCCTACTGATTTAAGTATTTATGGAGATTCTCAGTCATCTGGGTCATGGTTGTCCCAAAGATGCTTTTTCAAAAGGCAACTGGGCTTTGTTTTTTTTCTGTGAACAGGCAAAACATCAAAAGGGGTGGGGGAGAAGCTATTATTTGCAGCAGCCCATGAACAGAAAGGCAAAGCAAAGATGTAATCACACATATTTCATATTTTTCCAACATTTTTTGCGGGGTGCTGAGCAGAGATGGTATTCAACAGGTTCTGACCAGTTCTGGAGAACCATTAGCAGAAATTTTGAGTAGTTCGGAGAACCAGTAAATACAACCTCTGACTGGCCCTGCCCCCATTTATTCTCTGCCTCCCAAGTCCCAGCTGATGGGGGGGAGGGGGGATGAGGATTTTGTAGTAATCTTCCCCTGCCACGCCCACCAAGCCACACCCACAGAACCAGTAGTAAAATAAATTGAATCCCACCACTGGGATAAGCTTTTCCAAAAAATTAATTTGTCATTTCTTTTCCCCCTTAGAAACTGGTATGAACTTGCACTGCTTACATTCAGTGATTTGTTGCCAAATTTTGGTGTTGGGATTTTCTAGTTTTTCAGGATTGACAAATGAGGGGATTGTGGGTGGCAAGTTGTCCAGTCTGAAATAGAACCCATCTTTGTGTTTAACTTCCAGTTTTCAAAACCATTTCAAAAAGCCTAGAGATTGAAACATGTGGCATCTCAGCCTTTCTCCTAGATTTACTGTAAGAGCAAGTCATAGGAAACGGGGATAGGAGTATGAATGTTCATTGCCTTGAGTTTTATATGTAAAAAAGCTGGAATCAAAATCTAATCATCATGATAATGATTATTATTGGACTGGGAAGCCCATCAGATTCAGAGGAAGGAAGGTACTTTACAGAGTGTTTCTCAACTTTACGATGAGTGGACTTGGCTGCCTGGGGAATCCTGGGAGTTGAAGTACACTCATCATAAAGTTGCTAAGGTTAAGAAACACTGCTTTAGAAAGCGCACTGGTTCACATATAACACCTGTCAGCAGTTCCTGAAACTGCAGAAGTATTTTCCCAGGATCCAGCTGCAGTTCTTCTTCCCTTTAGACCCATTAGCATGAACGAGATGTTAGTTGCTGTGATCAAGACATCTCTGTAATGCCTTTCCTTAAGCAGCAAAGAACCTGCTCTAGAAAATCTCTAACTGCAACTGACCCTTCTCTTCCCCAGTTTGTTTGAAAGTGGCATCAATTGGGGGCGTGTGATAGCCTTGCTGGGCTTCGGCTACAGGATGGCAATCCATGTATACCAACATGGCATCACTGGCTTCCTGAGAAGAATTGCACATTACATGGCTGAATTTGTGCTACACAATCGCATTGCACAATGGATTGCTCAGCAAGGAGGATGGGTAAGTGAACCAAAGAAACAGGAAATAATATAAATTACATAAGCTTCTAGTTTGTATAAAGTCTACTTTTCCATTTAGGCAACTAGAATCTATTCTGATCGGCAAGAACTACCGTATTTCTCAGAGTATAAGACACACCGGAATATAAGATGCAGCTTAGTTTTTGGGGAGGAATATAGGGGGAAAAAATTCTGCCTACCGGGTATACATTTGGCTAGCATCCTTAGTCTGGTCAGCTTCAGCACATAGGTCTGCTGATTTTGAACGTGCATGCTCTTTTTATCCCCTGGTTGGGGATTTAAACAGTTTCTAAAGCACAGCTGATCATCAGAGAGAGAAGCAATGAGAAAAGCAGGGGAAGCCCGAAAGATCACTTCATTCATTAGGGCTGAAAAACAGCTTCTAAAGCACAGCTGATTGTAGGAGGGAGCAGCAATGAGAAAAGCAGGCAAAACATGGAAGATCGCTTCACTCGTTAGGGCTGAAAAAAAGCTTCGAAAAAGTTACATTCAGAGTATAAGACGCATCCAAATTTTCAGTCTCTTTTTGGGGGGTCTTATATTCTGAAAATTACGGTATTTAGGGCTTCTAGACGCATTGTGGAAGCCTAGCATCCTATTTGGTTCCTTCAATTGCATAGCTGCTCTTGGCAGGGATTTGAGTCAGAGGCCTTTGGAATCTATGAAGCTATCTTTTCAGCTGGGTCAAATAATTGGCCTTTCTAGCTTTGCATTGTTTAATGGAGGTTGTCCAAGAGTGATTGATTGGCAATTGATGGGTCAATTGCTTTGCTATAATTTATATGCCACTCAGTTTACAAATGCTCCAAATGGTTTCCTAAATCTATCTGGGGATACTGAAGCTAATATTTTCCGATTCTAAAGCACCCATTCTGCCTCTGAACCATGCTGCAAAACAGCTAAGCAAACAGTAAAATAATACATGGACATTGATGAATAATTGTGAAGAAAGGCACAGGGGAGGGTCGTCTTCCTTCTAAAAATCAAGTGTATACTTTTCACTTCTTTAGTTATTAGTGTCCCTTTCTGGAGCTACCCTGGAATAGGCCGAGAAAAGCTCTTAAAACAGCCTGCCCCAACTTAATGCTTCCTCTTTTGGGGGCTGTAATTCCCAGTGAGCAGGCTGATAGCAGCGCAGGGAGTTTAAAACCAACGCTAGAAGCTAGGCTAGGCTAATACAGAATTGGATCTATAACAGTACTGTTCTCTCTCTAGGTGGCAGCACTGGACTTGAGTAATGTTTATTGGAAATACATGTTGATGGTAGCAACCGTGATTTTGCTGGGCCAATTTGTTCTACGGCGCTTCTTCAATGGCTGACAGGAAAGGAAAATGCTGCTGGTCTATTGCATAAGAAAGAAAGATCCATGAAACAACAAGAGAGGACATGATGCATGTTACCAGCTTCTATTCCACCAGGACATCTGTTTATTTATCCTCTGCGTGGTGATTCCAAAGCAAAAGAACCTGTAGTTTAGTTAAAAGAAGAGTGGAACCAAGCCTGAGGCAGGATTCATTCCATCAAGCAGCCATTGACCAGCAGTTCTTCATGGGAAACTCCAGGCAGGTACTCATGGTATTGCAGATGAGAAAATTAGATGCACTTTCCTCTGCAAGATCTTTTTAAGAAGAACATTCTCAGGATTAATTGAATTCTCAATCAGCTAAACCTCATCACCATAGAAAGAGTAAAACCACAAGGGGAATGATCCTTGATCTCTGCAAACCAATTTTGAGCAGTTCTGCTCCTACGAGCTGGACAAGGGCTGAAATAATTGAGTAATTATAGAGCTCTCTGAATTTAACTGAGAATCATATGCAAGGTTAGATAGGCTAGATATGAATATATCTAGATTTTCCAGAGGAGAAGAGAGAGAAAAGTGATAGTAGCTACATTATTTTATAGGCACTTTTTCCATGCACTTGATAATTGCTGTCTTAAGTTGGTTGTACTATGGGCAGAGTAGCTCCTCTTGCTTTGAAACAATATTGTAATGACTCTTCTGAGGTGAAGAGAGTCAGCTGCTTGTAAAGATTAAGAAATGAGGCTTGCTTCTTTTCAAAGGATGGTGCTCTATTTCTCTTTTGATTGTGGTTCACCTCAAAGGTGGATGTGTGTTTGGGATTGGGTGACAAAGAAATGGGAACATTTCTTCAGGTTCCCTTTTTCTTTTTTATTTTTTGACAATCGTTAAATCTGTCTTACCCAAAGGATGTACAAAATGTGGTTTCCTGCTGTCACAGGAGTTGGAATATGCTTTCCCTAATGAAAAATTGGCAAAATCCACCAAGTTGAGCAAATTTAAGGCCATTTCCTTTTAAATTAGTGAGGCTTGCTTCTAAGTAAATATGCCTACAATCAGGCTGCAATCTTGTATTTATTTCAGTGAGAGGTTGAATATTTTTTTTAATTTTCCATCTGAAATTGGTGGAATATATGTGTTTAACATTAATTGGATCATGCTTAACTAATTTCCTCCTTGCATGTTTCATGAAATATCTCAATGGGAATACAGAATTCTTTGTAACAAAAGCAGACAAATATGCAAAGCTGACTATATGTTCAAAATAATTGGTTTTTTCATCTTGTGGTTTTTTTATTTTGTTTTTTTTAAAAAAAAAATCCAAAGCCAATTCTGTTATTATTTTTTTTATCCAATACTCTCACAAATGCTTACTTTGTTTGGGTTTTTTTGGTAATGCTGAATCTCATTTTGACATTTAAGATAAAACTACTACTATGTCAGGAAAAACTGATATTTTTGATAACCTCTGTTCTCTTTGCACACTTTATAAAGCCATAACTCAACAGTAAAACTTGAGTAGTTTTTCCTGCCATACAGTTACCAAAAATTCTTAAGCAGATGACTTGAATATAGTATGAATATTGTTTATATTTCTGATTTTTTTTTAAAAAAGAAACTCCTGAGATTTTCTGAATGCATATATCAATTTATTTTTAATACTGAAAAACATTAGCAGTTTTCAGTTTAAAGATAGTATCAATCTGAACTTGATCATAGTCTTAAATGAATTGTCATGACAAAGGATAGATAAATATATCTATTTCCTTTTACCTGAATCAGTGTTTGAGGATTTGGCCAATGTTTGAACCTCTTGTGGCAGAAGAGTCATCTAATATACTCATTTTAATGCACTTTTCTTCTTGAGCTTTCCTTAAAAAACTATTTATATTTTACCCTAATATAGACATTTTTGTGTGCACATCGAGATATACGTATATACAATTATATTATTATTTTTGCATTGCAAATTCTGCAGATTTCAATATGTAGATTCATAGTTGTGAGCAGGGGTGAAATCAACTTACCTTTGCTTACCGGTTCGGTAGCAATGTGAGTGCGTGGATGTACAGAGCGTCAAAAACGGATGTGATAACGTTCAGGCAGGTGGGCAGAGCTGCTACCGAGCACACCTGCAAAGGTAACCAAACAGCGGGGGGGGGGGAATCCTCTGTGCCACGCTATTTAGATTAGCTAGAAAGCAGGGAATCTTGCTTTCTAGCTAATATAAACCACATGTCACAGCTGATTGTCAGAAATACCAGTTCCCCGGAAACAGTAGCATTTAACCCCTGCTTGTGAGCCTGATAAGTTCCTATACTAATTGAACAAATTTCTTTCTTATTCCTAAACATGGCACTCTGCCATGTTTATCTTACACCTGCTTATTTCAAAGAATGTCCCCCCCTTTTTTTGTGCTGGAACTTGCTAGCAATGTTTTCAATTCTGGAACATAATCTTTAGAATAAACCTTATTTCCAGAAATTCTTTGTAAAAGAACCCTTTCTAAAGACCTTCCTGTTTGAATGGTTCAGCATAGTAACTTAAGATAAAATGACTTATAGTTAGGGGTTCATGCAGATGTTTCTGGTAAGTAAGAGTTGTATGATGGTCATAATTACAGCCAGAGCAAATAGAATACAGTTAGTGTCACTGACAGAGCAGTGAGTAGTTTACCTGTAGTCCACAAAACCAGTGCTAAAGCAGCTACTGATATGTAGCAGTCCAGAGCAGAAACTTGGAAGGGCATTGAAAAAAATCATCTTTTTTAATATTAGGATCAACATTGGGATCTGCAAAGTACTGGAACATCTATTGCAGTTAATTTTGCTTCCTCAGTGCTGCAAATGAATTGGGTGTTTTTTTCTCAGTAACTACTTTTGAGGTCTTATCTCAAGTTTGCCTAACAGGTTCTCCTTCACTTAGTGGGTGAATCTACCTCAGAACCCTCAGGTTTGAGTCCAAGGGAAAGCAAGGCCCCTATCACCGAAACTGACCATAGTCAGAATAGGAGCATCTTTTAGCCAGGTGCAGTTAACCTTAACTCCTTATATAGGCTTACAGGCACTGTAATAGGCTGTGCTTTTTCCTCTATTATTGGCTCTAGAGTTTGTTGAGCTCTAGGTTTCTGGTCCTCCTATTATACCAAGCAGCAAAGTTTTCCTCTCTCTGCTGCCATTATTCTGCTGCCTTTGGCAGCTTTATGTGAAGGCCATCATCATTCCCACACAGTTCTCTCTTGCTTTAGGCTAACTTTGTTTATAGGCAGCATTGAGGCTACCTTAGGTGCCTACTGGAGGCCCTGGAACTGATTATTGTTTTTACAACAGGAGAGACTGGAAGTTATGGATTTTTCTCCCTTGGGTATCAAAATAATTTGATAGTTTTGGAATGATAATCCTTAACTTTGCAAGAAAGAAAAGCAGCAGGAAATTTTGCTCTTCTGCCTCAGGTGACAAAACGTTTTGGGCTAATGCTTTATATGAATGAGAAAGTGAGCCCTCAAATGCATAAATGACAAAAAGAGGATGCCCAGTGAGATTTACAAAGCAAAGCTGGACGTGACTTCCAAGGACATTTTCCAGACGCTTCAGTTGACTAGTGCAGGCAAATAGTTGCATAGAATAAATGCCTAGCTGCAGATAGGCTTAAAAGAACGTAATTTGCCTTGCTGCATGACCTGTTGTCCTTCCCTGCAAGTTGGAGAAAATGCGGGTCTCATTTCTACTGTGCTCATAGGTAAATATGCCAGAAGTTTAATAAATATCCTGTGATGATCCAATTGCCTCTTACTTTCTAGCAGGGTGCTTTATCTGGCCTTTACTAGGTGTGGATGCTTGGGACCTCGCTTTGTCAGGTATCCCCCAAGAAAAGACAGCATGTGGCCTTTTAAACATTTCATTATAGGTATAACTCATGGAATCCCAGGACCCTGCCAAAAATCCCGCTGCAGGTTGCAAGGCACACAAGATGCTCTAACATTGGTTCTGCTACCCAGTTTGAATTGAAGGGCTGCCTTACACCACATTCCACTCTGCCTGACCCGCCAGGAAAAACCACAGAAGTGGTAGAAAGTCCTTTTTAAGAGAAAGTTCCCTGCCATTGCTAATCATACTGAGTTTCCCCATGAAGATCTGAAAGTATGACAGGACTCCCAACCCAGTTTAAAAATCAAAGTCATCTTACCTGTTACTACAGTATTGTATGGGGGGGGGGGAGAGGGAGAACAACAGTGTCTGATAACAAATTTTTCATTTTTGGTTTAAAATGTGAGTGAGTTTTATGTGTAAAATGTGAAGCAAATCTGAGCATAGTATCTTAATCCATAAACCTGTAACACAGAGCCTGATCTTTGTCACCCTGTTGATTTAAGATGTATTTGCCTCAGTACATAAAGGACTTGGCATTAACTGGTTTTTGAGAACTAGATAGCACCATTTGATTTAAATTCTCCATCTGAACCATGAAACATGTGCCTCACTAAAGCATTGTATACATTCCTGATGATATTTGTGGCAACTTTGAATTTACATACATGAAGGTTAAAAACAATGGTTTACTAAATAAGAACTGTCCAGTCAATGAAGAAATACGTTATTTTGTTTTTTAAGTTAAATACTAAATACTGTTTTTAAGTTATATTTTAAGAAAATATAATAATGAATGACGTTGCTTCATCTCTAATTTAAAAGGCTACTTATTGCATCATACCCTGTTTTAAAACCCACTTTCTAAAGGAGTTTAAAGGGAATTAAAGGGAATTAAACAAATAAACTTGCCAACTTCAATCCCCCAAATTCCCACGCTGGCTGGGAAACTGTTTAATAGGTACTAGCCTTTCTGCTAAGCAGCCAGAATCACCCTTTTTTCCATTATTTTATTTAGAAATTTGAATTTCCAGAGAAAGCAAGAGCTTTCCACTCACAAAATACCTCTGGAAGTTTTCAAATCACGTACTGTAGCTAGGTACAGTCAAACCCAAGTGTAGAAAGACAGGCTTTGGAATAAATTCAGTTTTTGAAGGATGTTGTTAAGATCTTAACTATCCTTTCTACTTGCATTGGGTTGAGGTTTGAAAATACATTTAAATACAGGATGGCAGCTGGTAGAGGTGCTTCATCTGACCTCAATATATCAAGGAGAAAAAACTTTTCTGTTGTTGGATGAAGAAAATAATCAAATCAATCATGTCTTACGGAAAAAAGAACCACAGGTGGGTTCCATTCTACCTCTATCATAGAAAAAAAAGGAAATGAACCTCTGGGGGGGCTGCTATTATTTCTGGAGGTACAAAAATGTACTTCATCATATACCATAAATGTACAAGTATTTCATTGTATGCCATATCCACGAGGAAATGTATTGGGTTTTTACCAGAAAGCTGAATCTTTTATGTACTTTTTTTTTAAATCCTCAAATTGTGAAGTGGTTGGAAATAAATGCTATACAGCAGGGTCTGTAAAATATATATTATACACATACATTAAAATAAAACGTGTTTATTCATATGCTTCTCTATTCTTTGAGCAGAGAACTCTAAATTATATTTGAATGTGCTCTTGTTTTTAAGAAAATCATTGAAAAGTGCAGGCTCTCTGAAAGGTACCTATGACCTACAGTCATCACACTGGAGTGTGTATGCCATAAAGGTATTGATAATGCTATAGCCAGGATTGGTTGTAGCAGCTTGAATATGCAATGTCCTTTTCTTCCTGTTTTTCTGTTTCTAAAGTTTAAGATTGTATTTTCCATGTTAACAGTCTGATGAGCATAGACAATTAAAGGGAATTGGAAATGACCAGAAGTTAATGAAGGAAAAAGTCAGTTAACTTATATAGCCATAATGTTTGAAATGGAAAACTGAAAGGAGGACTTAGATTGCAATCTGATACAGTCTGGAGGGGGGCATCCCTTTTGGAGTTGAGGGCCATTCCTGGCCTTTAAATGGCACGCCAGTGACCCATATTTCAAAAAGCAAGGCAAGGACACAAAGCTGTATTTCAGTTCATTTCAATTTCATTCAATTTCCAAAAAAAAATATCCCTCAAGCAGTTTTCTTTATTGTTTCAATTTTGAGTACAAAGTGCAGCCCTTTCACAAAAAGATCTCTTGTCAGCACCCACAGCAGCTGGCTGAGTGTTCAGTCTCAGGGTGGGATATTTCATCTACATACAAGCTTAGGATGGATCAAAGCAAAAATGTTTTGCATAGCTGTTATTAAACCTAATTAAATATAGCAATTATTTGTATTATTTGCTTCCACATTGAAAATTACACTTCACAAGGACATTTGGAAGGGGTCTGGAAGCATTCTCCAAAGTGGGAAGGGGGGGGGGCTAATTGAGCACCTCTGCTGTCCACTCTTGCTGAAGATTAATTGGCCTGATGAATTCCAATAGGTTTATTTATCAGATATGTAAAGAATTGCACAATTGTGCACTTTTCAAAAAAATGGTGGTTGTCATCATCTTATGGTGAGCATTCATTACATGCCAACAAAAATTAGCTTGGTTTCAAGCAAGTGTATATATTATTATAAGATAACACTGTTGTATCATTTATCTATTATGCAGAGGATCCTTCCCCCCCAAAAAACCAACTTATGTTATACCCAATTTTTCATAGTATGAAGAAGGCAATATTTGGCTCTCCAAATGAATGTTTGACTCCAGTTTCCATCACTATTTGCCATACTGAGAGCAATGGAAACTGGACTTCCCACAGCTCCACCCATTGCCCAACTCTGTTGTTGAAAAACTATCAATGTATTTGTTATAATATTTTATTATCTTGGTTTGCAATCTGTTTGAACATATAAAACAACAATAAAAAAGAATGTTAAATACTTGAAAATTTAAAAGTCACTGGTTTTGACTGTTGGCTTATTATAGCAATTCATATGGAAGCTATTTAGCTCTGTGTCTGCAGCTGTTCAAAGAACTCTTGGGGATTTTGCAATCTGAACATCCATAGTCACACATAGTCTCAGTGACATTGCAGCTATTTACTACAGAGAGCCCCCTTTTGGATCTGAGGACCTTCATTCCCCCCCTCCCCTGGGTTTTGGGCTTCTGCTCTGCACAGGGTTAAACATTTGGAAACATTTTTCCAAATACGTAAAATATACCTCATTTTCAGGCAGGAAAGGAAAC